CCTCTCTCTCACATGCATGCACACATGCTTTCTATCATAAATAAAGTAAATAAACGAAAACAATTAGTAGCAGGCCATCCCTTGGTAGCAGTTAAGGAGGCTAGATCCCACAGGGCCTAATGCACTGTTGGAGAAATACGCTGGGCATGTGTAGTGCATGCCCAAAATCTCAAAAGGAGAGAGGTTGAGGAGAAGGGATTGTGGTGCGACCAGTCACCACAGCAGGTTCTCTCTCTCTCTCTCTCTCCCCAGCAAGCACACACACCTTGGCAAAATTAACTAGAAAAAAAGTGGCACCCCAACATAGAGTAGTTATAAAGTCTAAATGAGCTAAAAAAACACATAAAGCACTCAGCATAAGACTGCTGCATGGCGAACCCTCAGCAAATGCAGCGTCTAGAATATAAAGGCTCTGGTTAAGGGGCCTTCATGGAATGCAGGTGTGCACACCAAGAGCCAAGCACATTAGTTACTGATGGGAGAACGGAAGTGAGATCTGAACTGCCGATGATGGGGTACAGCGGCATGGCCTGCTGTTACCTGGGGAGCCTGGGGGCCTTTTTTCCAAAATGACGAATTTCATCTCTATAATTCAATGGAAGAATAGCTTGAACAAGAAGATGATAAGGGAGGTTGGCCCTAAAAAAGCAGCAAAGGATAAACAAATGAGATGGGGGGTATTAAACCAGTACTGGAATGTGCCCTGTTTCGATATCTGATGATTATAGGGGGGGTGGAAATATAATTCTAAGAGAAAGTCATGTTTTTGCTGCCATCTATAGATGTCAAAGAGCAATTTTTAAAGTTCTTAACATGCAAACAACCCTCTCAGAAAGTGAAAATACACACAAAAATATATATAAAGTTTAAAGTTCTAGTAAGCAAAATGATTTAGGAATATTATCATAGTAGTTTGACATTTCTTTCCAAAAATATGTGTATCCAATGAGTAGAATAGCTTTTTTGATGTTTCAAATGGCTTCTCCTCAGAAGATTGTTAGGAAAACTCACGAGGGAGCCAGCCTTCTCTCAGAGATTAGCTGCAGCTGGGACAACCAGCAAAGCGTGTGAAGTTCATAAAATTATTTCAATGGGGAATGAGATGACCTGGACCTCAGCACTTTCCTGAAGTTCTCTGTTTGTTACTAGAATTACTATGAGTTGCGTTTTATGCACGTGTCTTTCATTGTATGGATATGAGAAACCGACCATGAGCAAGATATATGACTATTGATGTCCTCGCTGCGGTACCTTCTGCCCCTGTGCGCTCACCCTTGTATGTCCGAGATTATGATGATGTCTCCCCATCTTCCTGTACATTATTTTAAAGGGTCAAATATAGACAAGAATTACTGGAAAAGCGTTTGATGGAGAAAAAAGAAGTGGCCCTTCAAGAAGCCCATGAGGAAGAAGAGAGAGAGAGGCGGCTAGAAGCCCTCAGGAAACAGGTGTTTTTAATTTGGAAATTTCCACAGGTGGTTTTAAAAAAAGAATGTTTCTAAGTGTTCTTAATAGCATTATTACTGGGACTTAGTTCATGACGTCTGCTATATAAAATGCAACTTTTCCAAATTGGGCCACTGATCTTCATTCCTGGGAGCAATTAGATTATATTGAACCATTTCCAGTATCTTAGTATATTTAAAGAACTTTATTAGCCCCTTTGAGAAAGCTCTCCCAAGATCTAACTGCATCCACATCACCTCTAGTTTATTAGCTGAACAGTGCTTGTCTGCAACAGTGAGACTCAGCATCTAATTGAAGAATTTTATACCCTCAAAAAACTTGGTAAAACAAGACAGTCTTTTTGGAGTAAGATCTCTGTTTGGAGATGTCCAACAGTCAACAAATCTGTTAAAAAACATGTTTTAGGGGCAGCTGTGGTGGCATGGGCTGTGAAGATGCTGTACTCCACAGGCTGGGACCACATGGGAGGAGGCCCAGGTTGATTCCAGGTGTAGCCTAAAGGCTGAGTGTAATGAAGGCCTGACTTGTGGAGGCCGAGATGGGAGGACTGTAATACGGAGAGACCCATCTTAAAAACAACAACAAAACCACAAAGACAGCTTCTTAAATATATCCTTTTTATGGAGAAATAAAAGCTTCCCATAGCCTAACCTAGTAAATGTAGGCGAAAGTACATAAAGAAGATAGTAAAGGACAAGAACAAGGATTTATGAACTCTCAGATAAAATCATTTCACTTGCTAGTTTTGGTTCCACTCACAAGCTCTAAAATCTTTTTTTGGGGGGGGGAGAGATTTTCACTGTAGGGCGCGTGCACTCGCCAGACAGACAGAGAGAGACATAGAGACAGAAAGCGAGAAATCACCCCCCAGGGGGGATGGTCATGCTGCAATCCCTTCTCCTCCATTCTCCTCTCGGGATCTTGGGCACGCACGCACACGCGCCCAGCGTGAGTTTTAAGCCACCGGGTCCGGGACACGAACCGCAGTCGACTACGTGGGAGTCCAGCGACATAGCCATTACGCTAACTGCTGGTTCCCAAGCTCTAAAATCTTCACTGACACAATTTTTTTCCAGCTAATAAGAAAGATAATCTTGTTTAACCTCCTATGTCAGTGGAGATCACAGAATTACAGTTACTTGATATCCAGTAACCTGTAAACCTGGTACAACCTTGTTGGGTAACCGATGGCATTGAAAACTTAAGTGTTTACTTACCCTTCTTAAACTCCATTTCCTTATCTGAATAATGGGAATATTAATAGCAGTACTTCCTCTTTGGTTTGTAGTAATATAAGTACAAATTTATTGACTATTTACCAAGTGGAAATCCCTCTCCTAAGTGATCCTATGATGTAGGTATTATTAATATGCCCATTTTATAAAAGAGGTATTGGTTGGGACCAGCAGTTGGCGTAATGGCAGTGTCGCCGGACTTCCATATAGTCCACTGTGGTTCGAGTCCCGGTGTCTTAAATTCACACTGGGTACATGTGCGTGCGTGCCCAAGATCCCGAGAGGAGAATGGAGAAGAGATTGTGGCATGGACATCCCCCCTGGGGAGTGACTTCTCACTTTCTGTCTCTCTGTCTCTCTCTGTCTTTCTGGAGAGCACATGCACCCTATAGTAAAAGCCTCTCCAAAAAAAAGAAAGAAAGAAAGAAAGAAAGAAAGAAAGAAAGAAAGAAAGAAAAAAGTATAGATTAAGTGTAAATATATAACTACTATTTCATCATCATCATTGATCAAATAGAAGATGGAGAGGGGACCAGCAGTTAGTGTAATGACTATGTCGCTGAACTCCCATGTAGTCGACTGTGGTTCACGCCCTGGACCCGGTGGCTTAAAACTCACACCGGGCGCGTGTGCGTGCGTGCCCAAGATCCCGAGAGGAGAATGGAGGAGAAGGGATTGCGGCA